ATGCAACAGTAAAGCAACAATATATTCTGACTATTAGGAATAGCCAGCGCAGGGCTATCACTAAATCTATCGTAGGCTCGATTTTAGTGAAATCTACGAAAGTGCTATCCGTTCGTAATGACCAAGCGCCTTATTGTCGACCTTTGCGCTGTGTCGGAGCCTCAGCCGCTAAACCTAAATGTCGAATACGTGACATTACAAGTCAAAAACTGTAAATGAAAATTCGCTTTTGTATTAATAAAATACTTCAAAGATGTATGATTTTTATAAATTAAGGAAGCAACTTTAAAAGAACTCCCCCAAAAGCCCTTCTGATGTATGTCCTATAAAAGCCCTTCTGGAAGGCCTTCCATGGGTAGCGAAAGAAGAAGCCCTTCAATTTGTGCCACTCCATTCAAAAAAAAAAGAAATGCAGAGTGGAAGGCCTCTTGACTCTCAGGAAGGCCTTTCGGAAGGTCTTTTAACTCCTGAAATTATCTACTGGGCCGTTTTCCTCTGCAAGCAAGCCAATACGAAGTTCTCTAACTTCCCGCAATTACAATATATACGCAAAAATTGATCGAGGTTTGCGGTGTTACGGAAGCGGATTTTTCAAAATGCCCTTATATGTGTCAGGCTGATTTATTCCATTGGAAAAACCGTACCGATTTTTTTCTGAATGAGGAGTGAATGCTTGAAAAGCAATGTTTGTCAATCGGCAAACTCTGGTTCTCTTCAGGAGACTTCAAAAAATCTTACCCAATTGGTTATTTAAAAATTGTTTAACATTGTTAATATTAATAAACATTTAAATAAACAATTGCTTATTTTTTCTGGAAGTCTCCTGAAGAGAAAGTGTTTGGCGAATGGAAAATATTGATTTTCTAGGATTCTATACCATTTCTACGAAAAATTGTTTTTTTTCGCCAGGGTAGGAGTGTAATGTAATGTGGAACGATTTTCCGTCATCCTTTGTGAAATTTGGTTTGGGAAGATGGCACAACGCCGTAACCGGTTTGTCTCAAAACCAAATTTGGCAATGGCTGAGGGAACATCGACCCACATCACATTAAGAAAAAAAAATTATTAAAAAAGAAGCAAAAAAAGTTCCGCTGCCCGAGAACTCAAGCTCGAGCTCGGATCTCTTAAACGGCACTCTACCCAGTATATAATTTCTGGAGCTAAAAGCCGTTCTGAAAGGCCTTCCTGAGAGTCAAGAGGCCTTCCACTCTACATTCCTTTCTCCTTTTTTTTTGTATGGAGTGGCACAAATTGAAGACCTTTTGGAGAGGAGTTCTTTTAAAGTTGCTTCTTTAATTTATAAAAATCATACATCTTTGAAGTATTTGCTTAAGGTTTATATTAAATACTATGTGTTATTGCAACTTAAAATGTTTAATGCAACTCATTTATAATGCATTCGAGATGTGTATTTTAATTGAACAGTTTAGACTGCTGGATGTTTACGCCCCCCAGAAAAGGTTTAACTTTTAACCCAGTCTGAATGTCGGTCCAGATCAACTCAACTACATATGCAAGTACTGTAGAATTAAATAAAATGTCTTACCTCTTTCATTCCATTCCAGTAATTAAAAATTGAACTTTTTTTGTTTGCTCCTTTTCAATAGGAATAATGCATTTATTGTATTTTTTCTTTCTCCCTTCGCTCCATCAATAGCTACATTGACAAATTGAATACATTACAAACATTAGAGCAGCAGTTTTAAGCATTTTCCCTTAAGTGTTTTTTCTTCTGTGTGACGAATTGTAGGATGTAGTGTGGGTGGGTGTTTTCATGTGTGGGGAAAGTACAGGTATTAGTTTTGACAGGCGAGAGGGGGGATAGGTTAGAATAAAGTGTATTTGTGTAAGTGTTGTCAGTGATATTGGTGTAGGATATAACGCCCTTTTAATTTACATTTTATGTTTCTTGTTTTATGTGATAGCTTGATGAGCTCAAGAAATGCTCAATAATTTTGCCGTATCTTAGAAGAAAATTAATACATTTTTTATCCACCATAATCTATTCAAAATCTGACAATAATATATGAAATAATAGCAAACCAAGTGTATAATTATTTAAAAGATGTGCAGCAAAATATAGTTTTAAGCGATCATCCGCAGATATGTAAACAAAAAAAAAAAAAAAAACGCATGAATTATGATTATAATTAATTAAGATTTGAGCCTAACAAATACATAACGCCAAAATAGCCGTCGATGCGGTTGTCGTTGAAGACACATTTTTCGGACATTTTAGATCCTGCCAACACTAAGATCACGTACGATTTTATACATACAATTACATACAGAGTTAATCAGGCATTCCTGAATTTGTTTCCCGTTCGGTAGTAGAAACTATTTCTCTTAACCTCATGAGTTTCACATGATATTTCAATAATTTAGTGATTTTGGTTTCGTCTAGAAGTTAGAAACTTTTCTCGTGTATTTTTTAAGTTTATAGTTATTTAGCGGCGCGACGCCATTTCTTTGATCACATGATCTGCACATCTTTTTTTTTTTACAAATCTAACAACGGGCGCTATACGCTTTTTAAAGTGTTCATCGGCTTCGTAATTTTTTTCCAGAATTTTTTGCTTTTTTAAAGAAATTATTTAAGGCTACTCGGTGTAATGTGTTACACAAATTATTCTAAGGCCTTCATGGAAGGTGTACACAGTTTTTGAAACGGTTCATTCGTACTCGCTTCTTGTCGGTGCAATGTGGTTATTGGTACCTACACTCAATCACGAATTTTTAAATACTACAACAAATTTTTTAAAATGCGATGTTTTTTTTTAAATACATGTGTATCATATTAAATTTTTTTTTTATAGGTCACCACCAGTTTGCACCGACATTACAAATTATACTTTATTAACTATTTTTTTTTTTTATTACTCTATGCTTTTAGTTCTGCAATACATTGTTTTTTTTTTTTTAATTTTACGGTTTTGGTACAAAAATTCTTCAAATTACTCATTTTTTGCTTTTCTTTTTTCTACTTTTTAATATTTTTTTTTACATTTTTCTTTTTCGCTTTTATAAATTAGATACTTAAACATTAGACAGATACAAATACAATAATATTGGAACATCATTTTTTCCTGGTAATTTGCAAATAATTCGCACCCTCGACATTATTTAATTTATTTGGCTGTTGTTTTACTATATATTATATGGCGAATAACAATGCAAATTAAAAAAATTGTTGAGGCGGTGTCTGTATGTCCCGTTATGAAAATAGTATCGAATATATTTTTGTAAAGCTTTTAATCAATTTGCCTTGTTGCTTACATGCATTTAATGGAACATATTTATGCGTATTTTAGGTTAGGACTTCATTGTGTTTCTTGTTTTTTATATGTACATATATGTATACTTCAATCTAAAAATGATTACACATAAGCGTCATACATGCAACTGTGCCTCTCAAATTGTTTTTAGTTTTTTTTCTTTCTCTTTCTTGTATTGTTTGTTGCTGCTGCGACGTTTCCTTACGCATAGAATATTTAAAAGTTACGTTTATATAGTTCTGTAAAAAATATACACACACATTTATAGAACCTTATCTTTTAAATTTTCGTCGCAGATCCCTGAGTTTGTTTCTTTGTTTTTATAATTTTAAGTCTTGAAATGTTCACTCCTAATGTCATACATCTGACTTTGCGAAAAAAAAAAACGTTTATACGAAAGCAATGCAGAAATTAGATAAATACGGCCTTATCATAATACTTCATACTAAAGGCTGTCAAAATTTGGCATAGTGAAAATCAGCTCAAGACAACCATTCATTACGATATTAAAGCAAATTGAAGGAATTTGGGTCTGGTTCAACATTTTTTTTTTTTTTAGCCGAATGGCGAAAGCCAAACCAAGTTATATTTGAGTGGACTATGGACTGACACGATATTACAGTTATAGGTAGCCACTTAATGTTGGCAAATACCTGGTTAGAGATTCTGTATTGCCGGAAAATTCCAAACTCTCTTCTTGCAATTAGGTATTTCCAAACCTCCTACCAATGAAAATGAACAAGCCCGGATGGCGGCCAAAATCGCTCCGGCGTTTACAGCGCAAATCAAGAAGAAGAAGAAGAATGCAACTCTTACGTTAAGCAAAGTGTATTTTAATTGAATAAATATTGTTCATACTTATGTATGAACATCAATACTCATATCTATAGCAGCGGGTGCAAATAAACACCCGCATAGATAGTTAATATGTACTTGCATACTTACTATAAACATGCTGATACGAGTATTGTTGTTTATTTAGGTTTTAGGTTTAAGTTATACGTACATATGTACATATGTACATTTCAATGTATACAATAGTTTAGGATAAGAATTTACTATAAATAAAGGCGCTTCAGGAAACTGAGGTTGAGTTCTATCTGAGTGCCATAAGTGTCCGTGTATCTTCTCTGTACAAATATTAAGCAATCCACCAAATCTTAATAATTATTTAAAAGCCTCAATAACGGATCTCAACGATAGTAATAATAGAGAGAAAAGAAGAATGGTGGACCACGTTTGGTTGATTTGTAACGGCAACCCTAACAATATGGCAGCGCCAATTCAACACTGCCAAAAGGTTTAGCTTAAGCGTCATTTCCACATTATGCGCTACACATTCGTGATCACATAAAGTAACGCGCGTTTTATTTAACAGCGAAATTAATTATACTTTTATAACCCTGATCAGCAGTAAAATTCTGATAATCGCTACACTAAAAATCCATCGCTAAAATTCTCTAAAAGCAAACCTGTGGCGCCTAAAAGTATGTAACATGGAAACGTTACAGCTGCAATGTGCAATCAGCCAAAGCTGGCCGTACGAAGGGGGCTTTTAACTAGATGTTGTATGTTGTTAGGCGCGCCTGATATTCTTTTGGAGATTAATTAGCGATCAAAATTAGCGATAGCGAATGCTAGAATCCAAGAGACCCCGTCTCTATTTTTCGATTTCTCCTTTTGGACAGAAGCATTTTCTACTAAAAAGGATTCATCATATTATTGTTATATCATTGACATAAAGATATACATACACGAAATAGTTCTTTTTTTTTTTTAATAATCAAGGAGATCCGATAAGGTAACAGTGGAATCTTCCACTGCTTATTATTTATGTTTAAAAGCAAATAATAGAGAGTGAAGTCAAGAGGACGTGTTCCAGCCACCGTGTTCCCGTATCAATAAAAGGTAACCTGTACAACCAACATATATGCATATATATTAATACCAATTTATCTATTGTTGAATAAACACCAATTTATATTAAATATTAATACAAACGTTTTGCTTTGTTTTTCATTCCAATAAATTAAATCGGCCACAACTTTGTCCAAGCGTTGTGCCGGTTTAACATACATAGCGATAATTTCTGTGCAAGTGATTATCCCTTGGTACAGTCTTCTTACAATTAGGAAACTATTTAAATTTAAAATATTACTACATACATGCGTTTGTCTAGTTAGAGATAAGAATAGTTTTAAGTTTTCTATAAATAAAGGCTCGATTATTTTATCTGTATTCAACAATGACCTGAACAAGTAAATTAATTATTAATGCGTTTTCGCATTATTCAGAAGTGGGATAACAGACTAAATTCGACTCACTAAATTCCATTTTCAAATATGTACGGTTGCGTGCAACTAATTAACAACGACATGGCCATGTTAATATTTTGAACCTGTACCTAAAATCTTGGTATGAATAGTTACATTTTTATTAGTTGCTTTCATAAAAAAGTATGCTTCGCGAAAGTGGTCAAAACTTCATATTACAAATTTGCTGTAACTAAGAAATCGAAATTTCATGGTGAATTTAATTAAAACGGTCGAGCATATAATTAACAACGCGCATATATTTTTTTCAAGTTTTTTTTGTGGAAATTAATACATTTCAGGTAAGTTTTTTTTGGTATAAGAAAAGTTTGGGTGAACAGAAATCTTTTAGTGAGGAAACTCCGGGCGTTATCGTTAACTTGCGGAAGGATGGAAGTCAAACGGTGAAATCGCGAAGTCGCTCAACCTTTCGAAAAGTATGGCGTTTAATGCAATTCAATTTTTACAATTAAAATAAGACAACAAAACAAGTTCCACGCAAAAAAGAGGCCGCGTGAAACAACGTCGAAGAGAATACGAACTGATAGATCACGAAAGGACCCGCATACGATTGCCGAGGAAATTAGAGCTTCGGTTTTTTGGGAAAACGAGAACGCATCTGCTGTAGTTAGAATTAAGAGGCGATTGCGAGAAGCAGGACTCTATGGAAGCATTTAACTGCTCTTTGATCGCAATTGAAATTGTTTGGAGTTCGACTTGAAATATCGCCACTAGACACCAAGCGAGTGGAAAAATGTATTTTTTTTTTTTTGACCAAACAAAGATTAGCAGAGTTTTGTCGGATGCAAAAACTAATGTTAGGCTCACAAAACGCAAAGAGTTGGATAGGTAAGTACACAACACCAACACTGAAGTATGTGGGGGCAGGCAAGTCATGGCGAGGCGTTGGGCCTATACACAAAATTGATGCGACGTATGGATTGGTTCCTGTACGTAGCAATTATGAACGACCTAATCATCTTACCATTTGCCGAAGCTAACATGCCCGTAATATGGATGTTTCAGCATGATAACGATCCGAAACACAGCTCGACGTACAAAGCAGTGCTTTCAAGACAATTTGATGACTGTTTTTGACTGGGCTTCTTACAGTGGAGTCAATGCCACGCAGGTGTCAAGCGGTAATCGACAACAATAGTTTTGCTACAAAATATTTTATTTGTTTTTTTTTTTAAGTAAATTGCTATTTTACAACTCAGCCTACTATTGCTTGGTCTGGTATCGTTGTTAATTATTTAATTGCACTTAACTGTAGTATATGTACTTTTCGATGATATCAACGAATCTATGATAGATACGAGATTTTAAGCAACCGCGGATCATCAGTGTCTTTTGTAAATTGTGTTTGTTAAATTACTGTTAGTATTTTATGATAGAGTTAAAGACGAACTTTTTTTATTAAGATCTAACCTGCTGACTTTCAAGATTTGACTTCCATCATACAGATTGGCGCCTAGCTTAACCTTCTAATTTGAATTTATCAATTTCCTCAATTTCTGCCAAACTTTGTAGTGGCGAATTACGTACTTTGAATTGAATACCCATTTTTTGACAATTTTAAACCGAAAATTCACCTCTTTCAATTAATCCATCTCAGTAGTCACGGAAACGCGAATACCCTGCAACTTTTAGTTGAAGATTCTAAAGCATAAGAGAAGAACTATCCTTTTACAATGATTGAAAAACAAAAATAAATAAAAAAAAAAAACTAATTGTTCTTTTGAACTCGGCCAAAATTGCTTAGGTAGTTATAGCGCCAATTAAGAAGAAGAAGAAGAGGAACCAAAGTCGATTGAGGCATCGTATCTTAAACAATCAAGAACATTCGTGGCAATTTGGAAATTGCTTTATAATAATCAAAACCAATGGTTGTTCACAATGAAGGTTTTACGACGATACAAAACCTAAATTTATTTCTTTGTTTATGTTTTTTTTTTTTTGCGATGAAGTTGGCTGATCGAAAATTAATTGTGAATAAATTTGTAGAGAATCTAGCATGGTCTGGATCAAAAAACACCAAGTTTAGCGTGTTACCAAAATAGTGTACGTTTGTTTGGTAATGTTTACTATAAATAAAGGCTCTGGGTAACCAGAGCATTAGCGTCCGTTGTAATTTATGTTGTGTTGTCAGATGCTGTTTAGTTTCTTATCGGAAACTTAAACCAACAACAAACTTTGCTGCCACAAGTAGTTGCCGATAATAAGTATGTAGGATAAGTGATAATTTATGTATTTAGAGTAAGAATTTATGTAATATATATAAATAAAGGTTCTGGGAAACCAGAAGTTTATATTACATTTACATTGAACCCAAATGCGTCATTTGGGGGAGAAAACAAATACCAAATTACGCATTTCCCCATACAAATTCGCATTTCTAAAATCACGCATTTGAACGCATTTAAACAAAATCACGAAGAAAATGCGTTCCAATTGCCGTACTATTTTATTGAACTCACTCAGAAACAAAAGTTCCACAAGTTCCACAAAAGCGTTTGTTTGTCTTTGACACAAAGGAAATGCGAACTAAGTAGTGTAGTAAACACCTTCAGATGACTGATTTCAAATCACGCATTTCGGTCCAATGTAAATGTAATATAAGTCTAGTGCGGAATTCTCTCCGGTTGTACGTTTATTTTAAAGTTTAATAGTATACAGATGCGTTTTCGCAAAAATCAGAAGTGGGATAATGGGTTAAATCGTATGAAAGTTATTTAAACATTAAAAATCCTTTATTTATCTGCATCGATGAAGGATACTCGTAAACATTGTTGTCGAATGCAGAAGCCAGCCATGCACAAGGTGTTAAAAAAAAAAAATTGAAACATTAACTGACATAATCAACAATTCAAATTATCAACCAGCGCTATAAATCACACAAAGTGATTTTCGACTTCGACCTTAAGATCGAATTACATACATATATGTATTTGTTAACGCATAATAGCGTTCGCGGGTTTTAATAAACGTAAAGCGGATTCCTTTCGATAATAAAAAACCAAACACGTTCGATTATGTCAAATCCATTTATTAGAGAGAGGAAAAAAGGACAAGTAAGCCAGAGTTGCCAGTAGTTTGTAATAAACAAGTACATAAGAGATGCCAGATAGCACAGTGGGCGATTTGGATGCGCTAGCGGCGTTTTATTCAATTTTCAAGTTTAATAATGCAGAAATTTTGCATTTCCTATCGATAACGCATACTTCAATTAGTTAACAATCGATAGTTAATTACCACTTCCAAGCAACATATTTTTTAGCAAGTGCTTTACGATTTTTTTTTGCCTTATAGAATGTTCTTTTCATTTCGCTGTAAATAATAAAATTTTTTCCTATTAACTTAAAAGTTTACTTTACTTTATAGCTTACATCAAGGTAAGTACTATATGTAGAATATGTTTGGTTGATCTATTTATGTATGTGTTACTTATAAAACTCAGTTGAATTTAATTGTATTAACAACATGATATTGGTAGCCTACACCTGTATTTCGTGGATTAGAAATTAATAAAATTCAAGCGTATTCAAGTTAAGTTTAAAATTTTGTGAGAGCGTGTTTTATTGTGTGTTCAAAATGTCTTAGTTGAGCCGCTACTACCCACTACCCATCAATTTATCATTTTTTAGACACAATGGTCTCAGTACCAAAACGCAATTTTTACTTAGTATGGCTGGACGAAAAAATACCCAGGAAGAAGTTTCTTGCTATCGAAAACTACGCTTTCGGCACAGTTCTTAAATAAAAATAATAACCTAAGTATTCAGCAGCGTTGCGAAGTTGGTAGGAAACTACGAAAATTTAATAGCAGGCTTGTTGAAAGGTGGAAGAGTTGTGCTAAAAATAAAATGTATTTTGAGAAACGACACCAGGAATGGTTAGATACGCCACTATCGTTAATTAAAGTAGATGTTGATCGTCCAAAAAAAGATTTTGCAGAACTTTCTAGTAAGACACAAGTTGACAAAGTGTCTGACCTTGTACAGGAAGTATCATCCGAAGCGTTGCTGGTAGCTGCAAGCTCTAGTTTGTACAAAGCTAGACAACGCAGTGCTTCGAAGGTTGTATCCATGCTTAATTCTGAAAGTAAATTTTGCGGAAAAGTTATGAAATCGATAAAAAACCCCCCCGCTCCTTCCAATAAAATATTAAATCTGCGAAAAGTCAAAACGCCGATATATACCCAGGCTACGATAAACTACGCTCTGCGAAAAAAGATTGATATCCGAGTGAAATAACAGTCACTGATTATTCCGCAAAGTTTAGTGGACCATACTGTTGGTAGGATCATTCAAGCGTACCCACAAATTTTTGAAAAGCAGACTGGAAATAACAATACTAATATAACTGCCGTTTACAAATGGGGCTGTGATGGCAGCAGCGGACACTCAACGTATAGGCAAAAATTCAGCGATTGTGAAGGAAATATGATCGATCAGTATTTATTTTCAGTTTGTATTGTACCATTGCAAATAAAGCAGGGATTGAAAATTCTATGGATAAACAACCGACCTTCCTCAACTAGATATTGTAGACCAATAAAAATTCTCTGCGAAAAAGAAACGGCTGACTTGACTCGTAGAGAAATTGAAAATATTAAAAGCCACATTTTAAATATTGTACCAACACAAATAAACTCTTTAAGTATTCATCACCAGTTTCACATGACTATGCTGGATGGAAAAACTTTTAGCGTTATCTCGGAGTCTTCTTCCCAAACATGCGTAATATGCAGAGCCACACCAAAAAATATGAATGACTTGAATTTGGTTCAAAGTTTTCCAATTGATTGTATAGTCTCCTTGAATATGGATTATCAAGTCTTCATGCCTGGATTAGGTTTTTCGAGTGTGTCTTGCACATTTCTTATAGGCTTCCAATAAAAAAGTGGCAAGTTCGCGGTACTGACAAAAATGTTGTTGAAGAAAATAAAAAAACGCATACAGGAAAACATACGAAAAGAAATGGACCTATTGGTGGACATACCATTGCCTAGTTCTGGTAATACCAACAACGGAAACAACGCAAGAAGATTTTTCCAACAACCACATTTGGCTGCTCGTACAACAGGAGTAGACGAACTTTTGAAATAGTATGTTGGACGAGGATGTTATGAACTTGCTATTAATAGAGAATCCTGAAACAGATTTGTCCGACTCTGATAGCTCAGATTCAGAATAATGATATTTTGTTCTGTGAATATTAATTTTTAAAATTTTGTTTTGTAAAAATATCTAAATATATAATGGATTTTCTTGCAGATATATTTATAAAACAGGCGGTGTTGAGAAGGAATACTGCATACCAAATTTACATGTTTTAGAATTTTAGAATGCGACCCTGCGTGGCGCTTTAAATTACCATAAAAGTTAAGTCCGGTGGCACTACCAATTGTAATGTGTCTAAAGAAAAGTTAAATCGTTCATTTCTGAAAGGAACGAGTACAAGGACACACGAAAGTGTAAGCCGCGAAATATCTTTTGCACTTATATTTAAACTTTCTCTTTCCATAGGAAAATAAAACACACCACAATTTTCAAGCTACAGAACGCAGTTTTATTTTGGCCCTTGTAGGGTTTGTAGTATATCAGAATAAGTCACTAACAACAACAAAGCCACACGCCTGTGTTATGTATTTTTGCAGCATAAACAAATTCCTTACTTTGCTATTTTCACACGCTAAACACACAAGCGGCACACGCTATATCTGGTGCATGCGCTAGCTCTATGTATGTAAATATGTACGACTGCGCTGCTAGCACCTTCATGCTTGGTACATGTAGATATGTCTGTGGATACATTGCTTGTAGCTCCACATTAGAAATGGGTGTGTGTGTGTTGGTGACTTCACTGAGCTATGCTTTGAGCTAGGCACATATGAATGCATGCTCATATGTGCAAGCGAGAGATTCAGTCAGTAAGAATTTTAAGTAAATATGTATTGTAGTAAATAAGTAGTACATAAGATGTTAGAGTATAAATAAGATGATTCCAATAAAGAACAACACAGATTTTGTTATGCGACATGCTAAGTCGCAGCTAAAAACAAAACGCGTTTTATTTAATAATAAAACATTCGTTATGGCGATCCTGCCAGTCTGCTTTATTTTCAGCAGATCCTGGATAATTTAAAAAAAAAAAACACCAACGCAACAAATAACAATATAATGCGGTGGACAGCACGAAGGAATACATTATTACCAGAGGAAAATTAATTCAAACCAAATAGGCGGTGTCACTTTTATTTCCAAAAATGTATACACTTTTGCATTAAGGTTTTCAGTTCTATAAGCGGAAACAAATTTCAGCAAAGCACCTTTAGTTTTGACAAAGATATCAAATTAAAAATTTTCATACGATAACGCCTGTGTAAAAGTGAGCGTGGTCACTAGAGGGTTAAGCCGATTCCATTCAATTTTGGCAGCCACCTTCCCTTTTATGAAAACTTCTATCCTGCCAAGTTTTATTTTGATCGGACAAGAAACAACTTATTAGTTTAACGCCGCTAGGGATATCAAATCGCCCACTGTGGATAGGCGCGAACAGTATTAATAACACTAGTCTACAAGGAAAAGTATCCGAAATAATTTAAACTAATTTCTGCTTCTCTGTCCATGCAAAATTCGGATTGATAACTAAAATTCATTTATTAGTTTGAGTTTTTACGATAATCGTATCTTTCGTGTTTAATGGAACTACCCACATTTAACTTCATAATGTTTTGACATTTACATAGTTAGTTTGTATCAAATATTCGAAATATTGTGATTTAGTGCTATTTTCTCTTAAATTAAGCGATATAGAAGTGTTAAAAGTAAAAAGTATAATACTATTTTATAGCAAAATGTCTCGAAAATGTGTTAATAATCCCGACAATTTTTGTTATATCTGCGGTGAGGTGATATTTAATAAACAAAGGTGTTGTATATCGCCTATAATAAAAGAAGCCTATTTTTACTACTTTAACGAGAACATCAAACACCAGGATAAAAGCTGGGTTCCACATTTCTGCTGTAATCCATGTGCTACAGGTTTGAGAAATTGGCTGAAGGGCAAAAAAACATCATTTCGTTTTGCAGTGCCAATGCAGTGCACTGTGGGTACCGCCATTGGCCAAAATTAAAAAAATCAAATGTCATTAATCAAGAATTCAAAGTGTCGATAAGATTGTTCACACTCCCGCCAAACCAAAACCAAAATAAAAGTTAGCGGATTATTTTTTGTCATTCCTTTATAGCCATTCAAACTTCACATATAATTTAACATTGAGCTCGCTTATCGGTGCAGTTTTTTAATGGAGAACTTGGGAAAGTGATAACTTTTGTTAAGAAAGTGTGAGCAATATTAACTTGTTATGGATATTAAACAAGAAGGTGAGTACTCTCTAAAAACATACATTTTATTGTTTAATAACTTAAAGCGTCAATGTAATAGCACCCCTGCGCGAAGCACTTTCTGTCATTTTTTTTAGCTTAGTCTAAAGTAAATTTTAGATTTAGATGGTTTGCCTCCGAGTGCCTTCTACAAATTCGGTACTAAAATGAAGAATATTGTTCTACCTTTTCATACAATAAGGAAGTTTCCTCCCGTTTTTTCCTTTTTCCGAGTTATGATAGATTAAAGCAGGGGTGTCAGATATGATTCTTGCTTGAGCAACTTTAATTCGTTATCACTGAAAGCCTTTTATATTTATTTATTTATATATTTTATATTTATTTATTTATATATTTTATATTTATATATAGGTGCTGGCTATCAATGCGTAATTACACGCAATTTTTTATTTGATAAATGGCTTGAAAGTCGAAAAAGTAATACAACATGGTCAACTCAAGCCAACCAAATCCTGGAAAACATCAAATGCAGTTGGCCTTATCAAGGTGTTGAGAATATTGAATTTGATCCCCTCTATGACCGAATTTATTTAGTATGCAAGAAGTTAGCAGAATTTTGGAAAGAAAATGCAAGCAGAAAAAATGCAATTATGAGAAATCATTCCTCTTGGCTTGGCAAATCTGAGACTGTCTTTTTAAGTTGTCGTGATGAAGATTATCCAAGTACATCACAACAACGAGGTCGTCCTAAAAAAAGTTTTGAAGAATGTTCTTCGCGGAGTAAACGAAGACGTGTGGCTGAAATTTCGAAATCCGACGAATCAATTGCCACAGCTTTGCGTAATAGTTCATGTAATTCGAATTTGGGAGAAGAAAACACGATGAGTGTAACGCCTTGTGAAGTACTGGCGCTTTTTGTGGAAGCAAAGTTTACAAAGAAGCAGTACTTACTTGTTCAGAATTTCGTCAACACCAAGATTAAAAAAAATGCACTGCCTAGCTACAAAATTATAAAGACTGAAAAAGAAAACTGCTATCCAGAATCCGACAAAATTAGTGTCACCGAGACAGGTGCCGAAGTGGACTTACAGGCTTTACTTAACCACACGGCGACAAGAATTCTTACTTCGCAGAAAGACGTTCTTGACACTCTCAACAATGACTTACATAAAAGCCTACAGTTAGTAGGGAAATGGGGATTTGATGGAAGTACAGGCCAAAGCGAGTACAAACAAAGCTTTCATGATCCTTATGCTAAAGACAGCGATTTGTTTGTTACAAGTTACGTGCCATTGCAGCTCAAGTTAAAAAATGACAAAAATGAAGATGTTGTTGTTTGGAAAAATCCTCGACCGTCCTCAACACGATACTGTCGCCCATTAAGATTTCAATTTAAAAAAAGAAACTACTGCTGTATCTGTTTTTGAAGAACAATATTACACTGAAAAAAATAAATGCCTTGCAGCCTTTAACTATAACTATTAATGATAAAGAATGGACAGTCACTAACAACTTACGTTTAACTATGGTTGATGGAAAAGTGTGCAACGCACTTAACGAATCTACATCTTTAAAATGTTACATATGCGGAGCAACACCAAAGGAAATGAACAACATTGAATTATGCCTTCAAAAAGAGGCCAATGAGAACAGTTTATGTTTTGGTTTGTCCCCGCTTCATGCTTATATCAGATTCTTTGAGTTTTTTGTTCATATTTCCTACAGACTCAAAATTAAGAAATGGCAGATAAGAGGTGATGACAAAACAGAATTTGAAAAACAAAAGAAAATAGTCCAAGCTGAATTCAGAGCAAAACTAGGATTGATTGTGGACAGACCGAAAACGGGAGGAAGTGGTTCGTCAAATGATGGCAATACAGCCAGGAAATTTTTTAACAATACCAAAATTTCTGCTGAAATAACTGGAATCGATGAAACACTGATCGACAGATGCGCAACTGTTTTACAGGCTTTAAATTCAGGTTATAATATCGAAGCAGAAAAGTTCAGAGTTTTCGCCTTAGATACAGCTGCACAGATAATTGAAACATATCCATGGTACTATTTACCTGCTTCAGTTCACAAAGTGTTGTTGCATGGTGCATCGGTGATTGAGCATCATGGACTTATTTCTATAGGCGAGTTAAGTGAGGAAGCTGCAGAGTCCAGAAATAAGGACATTAAAAATTACCGACTGAATCACACAAGAAAAATGTCTCGGGTTGTCACTAATAAGGACCTTTTGAATAGACTTCTTTTAACTTCCGACCCACTTATTTCAAATGTGAGAAAATTGCCTACTAAAAAAAAAACATTTTTATCAGAAAATGCATTAAAATTGTTAAAAATCTAATTTACCAAACATATTATTTTTGTGAGAATTTGTTTACATTTTCTTTTTTATCTTGTAAGTTAAAACAAATAAAAATAATAATAATAAGTGTTTAATTAAAAAAAAGCTTGTGTTATATTTTTGACCGCGTTTTGGACGGGAATGCATTCATTTAATTTATTTTAACATTTAAGTTTAGCATTTCTTGGGATGTTAATGGGGTAGTGAAGTAAATATATAGCCTATCCTACTCAACTGTCAAGTGTCAATATTTTGGTCCGATTTCTGAACAATTGTATACGCTATTTTATCCTTACTAAAAACGGTGTTCTGCCAATTTTTTTCAAATTTCTCTGAAAATTAACCATTTTATT